AAGGCGCAAATGAACGAGGCATCTTCACGTATACGGCCATGGCGTTGATGTCCTCAAGATAACCTCTACTGCACTTTTTCGTTGGTCGGCACGACTGCGTTAGCGCATCATTGGACACTCCCACGTGTTTACAAAAAAGTCTCCAAGCTCTTGTCCAATACGTAGTTAAACTTCAATGACTCTTGACATTTCCATATTTATTACTAATCTGACTTATTGCTTTTTAATGACTATTTTCATTATGGTGGGACTGATTACTCTTTAATGAGTATTTTTCAGTTATTTTGTTTTATTCTGAGAAATGCATTCTTGTAAAACCAGCGTCGAAGAAGAACAAATCTTCCATTCTCAAACAAGAATACCAATAAATTATTCATCACAGTCACACTGTTTCAAAAAATGTAGCCAAAAAATAAAGACTGTAATGGTAAATGAGTCCAATGTGGGAATAACGTGTATTCCGAGTAAATTATGGCCAGACATCGAGAGGCTTGTCTTTGGGTGTCGTGCTTGGAATTGAAATGAACACAGTTCTCATTTTCATAACATAACCTGCATGAGCCATCAATCTTCCCTCTTATTAGAATGTTTGCTGCCAATAATGACAAACACGAGAGAGCAGTTTTACAAGTTCTCAAGCAGTCAGTTCTGGTTGATAGATGCCTTGACCTAACGCAACGCATAAACAGTGACAGTGGCAGACGTTTTCAGCCTTTGGTTAGAACACACATGGCGAACACATGTGCCTGACGCTCCCAAGGTTCTCCCTTTTAATCTCAATCTATGGCCTTCCATGTGTATGATTTGCATGTTCTCCATGTGCTTGTGTGAGTTCATCAGATTCACCAAATTTGCATGCGTGAACGTCATTGTGAATGGTTGTCTGCCGATGCCAGCAATGGGCAACTTAAACAGGGGGCCATCATTTTTTTTACCCGTGGTACTAGGGGGCCAGAAAGAATCACACGGTTCCTAATCAGGTGTGTGACAAAAAGGACATTTTTTTGTTTGTTTGTTTTGCAAGAGAGCCCTTTGCACCAGAAAAACACATTTACAGTCTATGGTTATTTTGTTGTTTACTTCAAAGTATCTGTTTTGGGGTTAAGTTAGAGGATCTTTTTTATTCATGCATTGAAATACTGTATATTAAGCACATGTATTATGCACATATGCACGTATTGAGTCCATATTTAACATAACATCTGGTTAGGAAGTGCCTGGTCCTACGTGGGCCGCCCAATAGCACTGATGAAAAATGATGGCCCACTCCAGCATTCAAGCTGTTGCAATTTTCATTTATTAATTCAGGGATGGGCAACTGCAATGCTGGAGGAGGCCACATTAAGTGGAAACATTTGCTCTACGAGTGTCCATATTTTGAACCCCCTTGAAATAAATCAAAATGCTGGTGGTTAATGGAACTGAAAACAAGCTTCCTAAAGCGTCAGTTACCCCAAATGTTTAATATGACAATGAAAAGAAAATATACGTGAGCCAAAAGCACACCAAAAGAGGAGTTTTATTATTCTGCTGCAATTTCACGATGACTGAGTGATTCCGGTGAGAACAAAAGGCACTTTCAAGCGACATAAATGTTGCTGTTCATTCAACATGTTTTTCAGGTGTGACAATTATGGTTAAATGTCTGCAAGCTGCCAGAGGAACCGCATCATCATCACATACTGCTCTCGTATGTGTGTTTGATCAGGAAAAAGAAAAAGTGGATTTTAGCCCAATGCTCCATGGCCTTAATCTGCCGGATTAGTGCATCAGAAACTTCACTGTGGTGTTTTTATATTCTTCATTCCATGGCATCTGTGTGAGTCAAACAGCTTTTGCAGCTTCCTTAATGTCATTCTATGTGTGCACGTTGCACGTGTTGCAAATGCCTTTAAACCAGCACAGGTGGGATTGATCGTATGAACAGCAACATCCTCGGCCACATGTGTACCAGACAAGATGAAGGGAGGTGCGCGCTGGTTAAGAGCTAAAGCGGCTTGGCCTAGATGAACAGGGGATCTCGGGCTCTCTGCCAATCAAAGCCCGAGCCAATAACTCACTCTTGCTGAAATACTGAGGAGACCATGAGCTTGGCCGCACGCATAGTTGATGTACAGTGCCTGTCTGAATTTTTTTCCCCCTATCAAACATATTTGGAATGCAATATAACAATTTTTTTTTTTTTTTTCACGCAGCACAGAGGACGGCCGGTTAGCACATCCGCCTCATAGTCCGGAGGTCCGTGTTTCGATTCCAGGCACTGGCCTTTCGGTGTTCTCCCCGCATTTTCCCCGTGCTTGTGTGGGTTTCCTTCCACATTCCAATGGGACATAGGATAAGATGTTCGGACAATGGCTGGATGTTTTTTTCACTCCATGTTCTTATGGGTGAATGCAAAAATAATTAAATCAAATCAAAGTCGGCGGCTCGGTGGGCCGGTGGGTAGCGCGTCGACTTCACAGTGCAGAGGTCGTGGGCTCGATCCCGGCTCCGGCCTTCCTGTGTGGAGTTTGCATGCTTTCCCCGGGCCTGCGTGGGTTTTCTCCGGGTACTCCGGTTTCCTCCCACATTCCAAAAACATGCACGGCAGGCTGATTGAACACTCAAAATTGTCCCTCGGTTTGAGTGTGAGCGCGGATGGTTGTTCGTCTCTCTGTGCCCTGCGGTTGGCTGGCAACCGGTCCAGGGTGTCCCCTGCCTACTGCCCGAAGACGGCTGGGATAGGCTCCAGCATCCACCGCGACCCTCGCGAGGAAAAAGCGGATAGGCAAATGGATGAATGGATGGATGGATTGCTGAAAAATAAAAGACACACCCCAAAGTCTTCCCATGGATGAATTGTTGGATTCAAGTGTCAAAAACATTTAATTTGTTCATCATCGTTGAAGTCTTTCCAGGAAATTAATCTTTCTCTGGTGAGTTGTTAGGATAAGCAGGAGTGAAAAGAGAATGAAAGATTTCAACTGGATTGTTTGTACAATTGCAAAGGAATGCTGCAAGAATCAAGATGCTTTCTCCCAGGATGATAATGATACATTGCACCCTGCTAACTGGAAGGCTTCGATAAATCTGTGCATGGGCGGAACAAAGTGGAAAACAACCAAGTATGTGAAAGAGGAGATGAAAAGTTACAAATACGGTGTATGTTTCAATCGTGGCAAGTTGACGTTTGTTGTTCCACTCCGGTCCTGTAAGTGACAGCGGTGCTAATGCTCATTGGTGGGTGACATCTGCCAAAGAAACTCATGGCAAAGACTGCCATGAATGTTCCCAATGATACAGATCAGAGGTGCAATGATTAATTGATTAATGGACAACTCATCAGTTAGCAAATAAATCAAGAACTGTTTTTGATCACCGATGAATCCTTTAGATACCTTTATTTTTATTTAAACTTGTTCAATGGTCAGAGTGTCATCTTCTCAATAGTACTTTGTAAATATTAGCGGATTTCTCCATGAAAGTGGACTTTGTGTTTCATCAAAGTTCTACAAGAAAACAATAATCAACTTTTTTGCCTACTTTCTCAATTGATATGGGCCAAAGCAATAATTGAATCATAATTTATTCATGTTTGCACTTCGTAAATTTGAAAAAATGTCATGTTTTGGAATAAAAGTGTGGAAATTAAAGCATTAAAGTTAAAATGTTTTTTTTAATACAATTTATGTTTCTTACCCTGTCCAATGACCAATTTTAGCCCGTTCCCACTGCAGTTGTTCCCGTGAATCAGCTTTGTGTTAGTGCGGTCTGGTGTGTTCATGTTGTCACAGAGGAGCAGGAGGACTTAATAATGTCGAGAACATCAGGAAGGACCAAGGTGGGAGGTCATTGAGGATAATGTCAACATGGACAACTGCCAAAACTAAGAGATCATCTCACCACCACGGAAATGGCTGCACAGTTCACTGTGATGTAACACACAAATGCTAATGGGGAAAAGGCTTAGGGTTTTCATCTTTCATCCATTTAATGTGCACTGTGTTTTGGCCGTGCTATGTTGATCACGAGGCCTGTGGCTTAAAGGGACACTTTTGATGATCAACGAACCTCTATTAGAAAAATGTGAAGTCAAAAAATCCCCCAAAAAAAAACACCTGCACTTCACCATCGAGCTTCTCTACCAGGTCTATCGTATTTTGACATTAATGGCGAGAAGACAAATTGTAGACAAGGTTTAAGTCAACTCCCCCACCCCTACCCCACCCACCCAGTTTTTTATTTCAAAGGGCATTTTTGTCCTCCATCTGGTTCGGAAGTACTTGGTTCTTTGTGGCCCCGCAGTGGCACTGGTAAAAAGTTGTGGCCCCCCACTCCAGCATTTAAATTGTACATTCGTGAATTTGATGATATGTTTGTATTTTGTTGTTTGGGAGACAATACTGAAGAAATAACATTTTATTACAATGTAAAGAGTACAGCTTGTGTACTGTAAGTATAAATGTACTGTACCGTAAAAATATCTAAACTGTACATCCCCGAGGTAAAACATCCAAATTGGGACCAAAGTGGCAATACACTATTTTGAAAACCATTTTTTCCCCCACAATGGCTTTAACCGTCTTGGGCATGGAGTTCACTGCACTGGCACGGGATTCCACTAGAATCCTCTTCCACACCTTGTGCTCCTCCAGCTTCTATATGAATTTTCCCCACTGATGCTTTGTAGGGTTTAGCTCTGGAGACATGCTTGGCCAGTCCAACACCATTACTCCCAGCTTCTTTGGTGTACTACTCATACACACAAAAGGCACTGCCTGCAGCCCTTCTGACAGACAATTGGTCAAGGTCGTGCACAGAAATATGAAAAGGGAGACATGAGGTGGGGTAAAAATAACAAATGAAAAGGATGCATAAGTAATGGCAAAAATGAATGGAATCTTTTCTGCCCTCGGAAAAGAACATCAAACGAGAAGTCTAATCCCCGTCTGATACCGCTCTCTAAGCGTCCCGTCCCCATGATGATGACATGGATGATGGTGCGTGAGGGAGCCAAAAGAGAGGACGGGAGGGAGAGGGATAATACCAGTTGTGAATGCATGAATGTAGTGCTTGGGCTTAAACTGACTTGAGGGCAAGTGGCGCACAGGAACACGGAGAGTGTATGTGTCATCAAGCTGGCCAACTCGCCCCACTTTGATCCCACTGCCCCTCAACCATCCTGCTGAACAGCAAGTAAAAGGGGATACATACCTGATTGTTACTATAAGCGCGGGATAAATTGTCGTGCACGCAGCCGAGTACACAGTTTGAAGAGGAGAGAGGATGCTTAACAACGTGACAACGGACTGCGAGGAAGGAGAGGGGAGCCCGAACAACCAGGGTGAGTGAGGGGGGTGAGAGTGTGAGGCTGATGAGAGTGCGCACATGTTCTTAATTAGAAGGAGAAAGGATGCTGTGGTCGCCTTTGTGGCTGGAGCCTGACAGACAGCGGTGTAGAGTGGCAAACTTTCAGAGGGGGATGTGTTTTCTTTGCAACCGCACATTTTCCTTGTTGGTTATTTTCAGAGCCAGTTCAATCCAGCAGAGGTTAAGCTTTTCAATGAATCCATGTCAAAGGAAAAAAAAACATCATGGTGTCATTCATCTCAGCAGTAAAAATGTCTTGCCAGATGCCAAAGACATTCCTTTAATAACAAAGCGTTTGTATACGGACAAAAGCAATTTATTAAATCCGAGCACTGAATGTCTTAGCAAACATCATGCTCAGTTTTAAATCACTGAATCAAACAATATGTGGCAGGGTGGTTATCACAGATGTCTCATAGCTTTGAGGTTGGTGATTTTAAATCTAGGCTCTGGCCTTCCTGTGTGGTGTTGACATGACCACCTCAAAACCTGTCGATCAGCTTTAACAGACAGCTGTGACGCAGTTGTGTTTTTTTTTTTAAATAGCTATCATTTATAAGCATAATGAAATGTCTTGGTAAAGTGGTTTATCCCATATTTAGTAAATTAAAATTCCAACAAAGTCCCTACATGCTTGTATGCTTCTGTATGTGGCCCACAGGAAAACATTTGGACTCCCCTCATGTCAACTGAAGCTTATAGAGTAAAATCTGAGGAGGTGACACAGTAAATTGCTTGAAGCAGTATAAATGTCCACATTTGTTTTTGTCAAGTGGCAAATGACCTGGTCATGAGTGGAAGCACATCACACCAGGTGCATTGACATGGAGTGGATTGTGATCGCTACGTAGGAGTCACACATGATGAATCCTGGAAAGGAGCTCACACTTGATTCTTGCATCCATTCCTGAGTAAAAGAAGTAGGCAAGATAACAAGTCTAGATAGGTCCCACGAGAGGCCTTGTGTTCACTGGTGAATAATTGCGATTAATAAGATGGAGTGACTGCAAGGTTAAGTGAGCAATTTGGCATCGCCGAATCAACGGCGGTTCAACAATGTACTGTCCAACATTCAAGTTCTTGTGATTGTGACTTTCCCTTTAATTGCATTGCTATGCAATACCACATTGACCAAAGCATACACCCACCCGTTATACAAAATAACATTCCAATTTATCGATTTGAATGCTCGTCACAAGATACTTGTGGTACAGTGAATACCCAAAGTCTGAAAACCCTTGTTCAAATACCTGTTTTGTGTGGTTTTGGAAAAAAAAAAAAAAAAAAAACACACACAAAGATGAATCGTTTCAAAATGTTTTACACCATAAAGGGTAAATCGGAACAACTGCTGTCTTGATGAAGCCTGAACGTTTTAGTGCTAACACTGTGATAGAGAAATCTATGAACAAAATTGTATCATGTTTAAAGTTTCGGTTAATTTGGGCATGTCTGGACATACTCAGCGCAGATGTGTCGGCCGTTTGGGCGGAGGGCCTTTTCTTGAGTAATCACGTCAAAGCAAGGGGGGGTGAACAGATGGAAGAAGGCTAGATTCAATCACAGAGTGGGAATAAACAAATTGGGAACAAAGAGTTGTTGAATACCAAAAGACAGTTTGGGAACAGCTGTCGCGCCCAGGTGGACATTTGTCATCAGCAAAGTCTGTGACTTGTGTATTCGGGTAGATCAGATCACTACCGAGGGGCCGGACCGGGGGGCGCGGTATGCAAATCTCGGGGGCAGTGTCTTTCTTGTATTTTGCAATAAAAGTTCGAACCGGCGGAGAGGGAGCCGAGGGTGTGATCATCGGAGCAACTACCGTCGTTCGCTCTCAGAGATCCCCTCCCGCCGATATTGAAGACAATTTTCCTGTGTGCCGAGTCATTTCTTGAACTTTGTCCGAGAAAATCTCTGCCACACTGACAGCTATTTGGAACTGTTCATCATTCCCTCCACTCAACACTTCCAACTGAGGAAAAATAGCTCCAATGCGTGCTGTTGTCACCACGAGATCTAGTTTCCCATAGCAGTCATTGTGAGCAGGAACATTCAGGCTACTTACTACAAGGTCAAAAGAGGTCAGGAAAAGCCCACTAGAACGACTGTAATTCATTTGGGGTTAATCAAACGCACTTGAAATGGTGCCAGGTGTGCGCTAATGCCCATTTAGCATGTGATTGGTTCAATCTGGACACAGCAGGTGTGCACAGTTATACAACCACATTCTCTCAAATATTTTAACGTCCCTTCTCTTAATTTTAATTCAACTGAGTTGGAAGGTCAAAGTCTATATTAATGGTGGAACAGGTTTTTAAATGATTTATTTTGACCTCATTTTTTTATATCACATAAACCTCCCATTTGGGGATTGTTGTGCAGTCATCAGATCGGTACAAGTAGTGGTCAATTTTCCTGCCTTAGGTTCTTTTCCTTTCTTTCTTTCTTTCTTTCTTTCTTTTTTTTTTATAAATGTCATTCAATGATTGTGTATTGGCCACTGGAGATGATTCACGACATAATACATTAATGCATCAAGGTCAAACTAAGTTGAAATTGTTTTGTATTGATAATAGCCATTGTCATAGATAAGTCATCGATCTGGATGCACTTGAATCAAGCATTCAAGATTGTACGGGCTCATATTTTTCAAACATAAAGAACAACAATGAAAATGTTTTATGCTCAAGTATGACTTTTCAATGCAGCAAAGTACATCGTAATCACTTCAGTGTTGACAAAGTGGCGAAATTCAATATGGTGAAGTGGAGGCCAAGGCAGGTGAACCAATAAAAAAAATCCAGATGTTAACACAAAAGAAAACCAAGTCGCAGACTGAACATCACCACTGCAAAACCCACCCTTCAACAAAAGCACAGATCTGAACAAAACCAACCTCAATGAAACATTTGTTGGAGCATGCTATTACACTAATAGTGCTGCAGTTGATTAACATATTTACATTAGTGGATTAGTGATTTTTCAAGAGGTTCAAAGTACTCCAAATCATCTGGAGCAGCTTGTGGAAGGGGGCAAAGGTCATTTCAATCACAAATATTTGTCAGCATTTATATAAGAGCATAAAATGGCACCATGTGTGCGTAATGTAGGGTCGTGGGTGAGGCTTTGTGACTGCGTTATGCAAGGGAAGCACATGGGTACTACAAATGAAAAATGAATTGAAAATCTAAAAAAATCATGCGTTCAAAGTTTTGATAAACTGAAACTAACTTGCGTGACACATTACAAGTGTATATGATGAACAAATGTTGATACACACAGAAAAAGCAAATGTTTGGTGTTTCCTCACCTGTGTGTAGTAGCAGCATGTGTCTATGAGCTGGATGACAAAAATGATGACATCAAAGTGCTTGAGTGACATTGATGGTCTTGAACCGTTCCCCTGGATTCAACTGTGATTGGCCCAAGAAGGGAAACATTGGTCCCTCTAAAAATTGAGGGAAAACTGTCAGTCTGTGTTCAACAATGCTGAGGGATTTTTTTCTTTGAAGGTGGTTTAAATTTAAGCTCCTGCCTGAACTTGAAACATACACAGGCAGATGCGATGATCTAATCCACTCGCCAGATGTCACAAGCCTATCCGCAGGCATGTGAAAAGGAGACCATTTCCCTGATTGCCCATACGTTAAAGGCAAAGTCAACCCAAAAAATGTCCTTCCAGTAATATGTTCTATGCGCCTCCATGTGTCTAAACACAGCATTCTGATTAATATTGCGTTTGTGAAATATGAGTTAAATAGCTTCAGAAAACAGGTGAGCTGTGATTTCTCGCTACCTGAGCCCTGAGCAACTGTGAAGTAATTTTCAGTCGACAGAAAGTGGCATAACCCCCCCAAGATGGCTAAAAAAGGATGGATTTTACTGCTTAACTCATATCCCACCAACGCAATATTAATCAGAATGCCGTGTTTCGACTAGCAGGGCTACATAGAACATATTATTGTTAAGATAATGTTGACTTCCCCTTTTATGCAGCCTGAAATAATTTTTATGAATGAGAAAAAGTCATATGAAATGGTCACTGAATGTGGCTTGGTGATGGGTGGCTCAAAGGTTTTTAGAATCTATAATCAAGAACACCTAATTTAATAAAACATTATGGTTACCTTTTTTGTTGTTGTAATTCAAATGTATTAACAGTGTTGCCTTGAGATACAAATGAAATGACTTACACGAGATATGAGCCATTGCTTGGCCACTCATATCACTTCACAACAAGCACTTTGATGAATAATGTCTTCAAAAAAAGAGGCTTCAAGCTCTTCGCCACCACTCACAGTTCACGTTTACTGTCAAACAAAACATACAACAGTGAGAATTACATATTGTGTATTTGATACAACAACATATATTTGCCTTAGGAAAGTCAATTTAGTTTCATGCTAACTAACAATGCTAAACACAAGAAACGGGCTAACAAATACTGTACAGGTAGCATCTGTGTCCCGGTGTGAGAACGTTTAAGAAATGGATTTGAACCCTCCGTGTGGACTAACACATGTAGACAGAAAATGTAATAATACTCGCAGGCATATTTTCTTTACCCTCGGCAATAAATGACAAAGATTAATGCTGTTTACTAAATCGGTGTGACTGTCTCCAGGTAAATATTTGTGTATGTCTGTATTATAAGGCGCAATAGCATACGGTGCTATTTTCAAGAAAACACATGACAATTTTTTTGTTTTTCGTGAGGCTAAAAGGGGGAAGTATGGTGTGAGTTGGGTTTTTTTTTGTTTGTTTTTTGTTTTTTTTTGTTTCAAGCGTGGTCAAGGAATGAGTCAAACTCATATCTCAAGGCTCCATCAAATGGCAAATTATGTCAACGTAATTTTTCATAAATATTCAATTTGGACCACAGCGATAGAGATCGAGAGAGAGAGAGAGAGAGAGAGAGAGAGAGAGAGAGAGAGAGAGAGGTTTCTTTGGGCAAAAATGTATCATGATGACAAATGTATCAGATCTTTTTTTTCCTTCCATCCTGGTGTTTCGCCCTCAACGTTGTACCTCAGGAATGTGAAGGATAGCCAAGGTGGTGTTTCATCAGGGAGTGTGGCAAGGATAAATCCTGTCAGTGATGGTCAGTAATCCTCATAATGTGTTTTAGTGCCTCTTCAATGAGTCCACTTGAATGCAGAGTGTGTCACATCGTGATTTTAATCTATACAGAGCAAGTATAGGTCAGAATGTCAAAGTTGGATTACAGTGGTCTTGACATATTCTCCTCATTTATACAAATCCAATTCATTTTCTGGATTATGGATTAAAATGTGCATCATGCTGGATCTGTACTTAACACATTTCTTATACAGTTCTGAGGTTCTGGGTTTGAATCTTTGCTCCAGCCTCCCTGTGACGGGAATTGGAAGTTTTCATTTTCTCCGGTTACTCACGTTTTCTTCCCACATGCCAAAAACATTCATGTTAGGTGAAGTCAAGTTTTTCAATTGTGCTCAGGTGTGAATGTGAGTGAGGTTTGTTGGTTTGATTATGCTGTTCAAGTGATTGGCTGGTAACCGTCAGTATTTAGTGGACTACTGGGAAGGACCCTACTAGACCTTCACCAAGACAAAGCAGTGCTCACTAAAATAGAGAAATGCTGAATATTTTGAGATTTCTCGCAAGATAAAATGGTTCTACTGCTTTTTTTGCTTGACAGTCCATCTGCTTAGTGATGCTGCCCTAGCCTCTTGTTCGCAGACATTTTTTTCCCATCTGAGCTGTATCATTAACATAATATAGGAATATAAAACATTCATTTTATTTTATTGAAACAATCAAATGGCTTTATGTGCAAATTTCCTGTAGATTTGCTTCAAATTAAGGCTGGATGTGGATATGCGCCATGGCCGTAAAAGAGGAAAAATTCACAGTGTTTACCTTGTCATTGTGAGCCAGAAATCATGTTTACTTCTGTGTTGTCACTTGTGTTTCTGAGCCGGTATGTGTCACTCAAGTGGAAGTATTGTAAACACACTTTGGAAATACTGTACATTTGCAGTCACAGCTTCTGCTTGCTCATATTAATGACTAAGTCATTCACAAGTCATTGGGATCACCCAGCTGAGAATGTTTGTCTGCGATCCAGAAGGAGAGCAATGAGAAGTGACAGAGATTTCATTTAATCCTTCGACTAAGCTACAACAACACCCAGTCCTCTTAGACGAGATAGTTGGAAATACAGTTTAGCGTGTATTGGCTTCAAGTTAGAATCTGGCATATCAGTGGTTTCCGTTGCAAAACAATATTGTCTCTATTGAGAAACCTCAGGACCTGCTTGTTGAAATTAATGTAGGAAATGAATTGTTTGTGAATAATTTCTCAAAACCCTGTGGATGGAGTTTTCACTAACGATGCTCAGAAAACGTGGAAGGATTTGTGTTAGCTGTTGAATGTCACTGATGGTGTGATGGTAGACTCACATGTTGAGCATGAGTTCAGTTCTTACTCAGTGAAGGGCATGCTGTCAATATGTGTCCTGGGATTGACTGGCACCCACTTTGGGGTGTAGCCCACCTTTCGCTTGAAGTCCTCTGAGATAACTCCAGCTCTCTGTCACTGGATAAATGGAGTAGAAAATGGATGGATGGATATTTGCTGGTGATTCTTTGTTTAATTTTTCAGGCAAATGCAATAGTTGCGGTCCAAGCACCTCAAAAATTTGTTGATGCTTGTTATCATGAATCACAAGATCACATTGGGTACAGACTGAGAAGATGATGGGATAAGGTTTTCTAAAACAGCAAAACAATACCATGTTTGGATTGATCTTAATCTCCAAAATATATGGCTCCATTATGTTGTTTCTTTATGACTTCATTCATTCATTTATCTGAACTGAGGGTGTTGGTCACAACTTGACAACTGATTTTATGACAGACAAAATGCCAGAGGTGAGTAATTTACAAACTTTTGCTGGTCCGTCATTCGTCTTTCGTCAGCGGCTTAGGCACCCATCTGTCATTGTCAGTCCGTCGTTATTTCAAGCTGAATCAAACTGTAATTGTCAGTCGTTCAGTCCATCATGTTACTTTAACGGAATTTCCATCATCGCTTCCGCCAGTAAATCTCACCGGTCCACCAGTCCGTCTATTGTCAGTCCGCCAATCTATTGAACTGTTAAGCACACTAGAGGCAGGCTGGTGGCTGCCTGCCACTGTTTTAACTCCTAAAACCCCAAAAAGTTTTAATTTTGTTTGTTGTCAGCAAAACGGGCATCTGTTACTGATGGCCTCGGAATGCCCAAACCCGCAAATTTCAATGTACCGGTACCTGTATTGAAATAGTTTGAATTACTGGTAATGTTACATTTATGTTTGGATCAATGAAGTGATAGCCGGAGTGCAAATTCGTGCACCAAATGTTTTCCATTCATCCGTTTTTCACGATGCTGTCAGCGGCCAAGGCCAAATTTGTAAATGTAGCCTTATCCTCTACAGGGCTGAAACTGATCCCAGCTGAGGGTGCAGCTGTGCAGACACCATGTCCTAGTAGCCAATCAGTTAAATCAGTCAGACCAATATTCGCCTACACCAGAGATCACCAGTATGGTGCCTGGGGCGATTTGATACCTCAGATAATTTGATCAAACGTGTTATTTCAGAAGTGTGTTTTAAACTGGGAGAACTTTGCATTAATCACTGCCAAAAGACATGCTGTTGTGCTCAGTTTTAGACAGACATTGGGTACCCCTGCCCTACACCATCAGTGATTTGGACCAAATGTTTTGCTTCGTGTAATATAATGTGGTGTGTGTGTGTGTGTGTGTGTGTGTGTGTGTGTGTGTGTGTGTGTGTGTGTGTGTGTGTGTGTGTGTGCGTGTGTGTGCGTGTGTTAAATATGGTTTGACAAGAGACCTGAGAATGTCCTTTGGACGAAGTAACAGTCTACACAGAATATTCAAATCTTTCTATAGGTGTACATAATAATCCAGTTTTTCTCGGTATAATTGACCACGACAGAAAGCCACATAAATCAGTGTCAACTCCGCTTAGAGGAGACACGGATGGTATTAATACAAATCTTCATTTACAGGAGGCGAGGTTAAAATAGAGGAGGTAATTGTGGGACTGATGTAATTGATGTAATTCAAGTTCACTCGCTCACTTATGCAGCTGATTAGTGCATTTTGCTCACATGCAGATGTTGAATTCAGCCTTCGTCCAGCAGCTGCGGGATAATCCCCTTGAGCCTACGTTCTATTAAGCTTTTAAAAGCTGGAATAAACTGTCCATTTTATAATAACCGTGTCACATGGAGGGTACAAATCTGCCTCACATTTCAAGTTTCAGGATGCAGTATCATTTAACAGTGTTTTGGTGCCGTTGTTAAATCCAGCTTCTTTCATCTTAGGCAGCTGGCTAAAATAAAACCTCTCCGTTCTCATGAGCACCTTGAGACAGTAATTCATGTCTTCATCACATCTCGGCTCGATTACTGCAATGCACTTTACTTTGGAGTCAGCCAATCCTCCATTAAGCGTCTCCAGCTGGTCCAGAATGCTGCTGCTCGCCTCTTGACTGGTATTCATAAGAGGGAGCATATAACTCCTACTCTGGCATCCCTTCACTGGCTCCCTATACACTTTAGAGTTCTTTTTAAGATTCTATTATTTGTTTTCAAATCTTTAAATGACCTCGCACCACCTTACCTCTCTGAGCTCATCCGGCCCGACACACCTGCCCGGCGCCTCAGGTCTGCGAACCAGACATTATTAGAAGTACCAAGAACTAAACGGAGGCTCAGAGGGGGTCGAGCCTTTTCCGTTGCTGGTCCCTCTCTCTGGAATGACCTCCCACTGAACATTCAGCAAGCCCCCTCGCTGCCCATGTTTAAAACCCGCCTGAAAACTCACTTGTATTCTTTGGCATTTGACTCAGCATGACTCCAGACTTGATCTTAGTTTTACTGTTTGGTACTTTGTACCGTCTTTGTTACTGATTTATTGCTTTATTGTTGTATATATATGATAGTTGCTCCATGTACAGCACTTTGTATGCAGCGATGGCTGTTTGAAAGTGCTCTATAAGTACAGTTGAGTTGAGTTAGTTGAGTTTAGAATGTTATATATAAGATCTGTAATAGGTATTTTTTAGGATCAACTTTCAGGGCTTACGGTACGAGTACCACAGTGGGTACTTGAAGAAGACACTTCAGGAGATACTTGAGATTTAAAAATAAATAAATAAATAAATAAGTTGGAAAAGTTGTGTCAATGCGGAAAAAAAAAATTGCATGAAATACAACCTAGATTATTCTATACAATAACGTCCAGTCAGATTTCCACACTCATAAATGATATAAATATAATTAGGTCAGCCAGTGGCAAATAAAATCAAATTGAGTACTGCGAGTAGTGCCAGACTCTGAGCCAGCCAGACTCCTTCTCTCACAGCTGACGAATCACTTGAGGTCACTCGACCTTTGCGCCAGATGACAGGCTTCTAACCCCACAACCTGAGCAAAGTTGTACACTGACAGACAAAATCTTAGAGTAACATAATGATCAAAATTCCTACATTTAAACACATTTTTGGAACTTGATTGGTGTGTCAGGTGATGGAAACCCCAAGGAGAGCAGTCCTTTCATCAACAGCTGTGCCTCTAGTGATGTGGAGAAGAGCCAGCAGTATGATGGCAAGAACATGGCCCTGTTTGAGGTCAGAGAGATATCTTTTTCCTCCTCAATGAGTACTCTGAGAACACAAAATGATAGCAATGCATGTGTGTGTGTGTCTGTGTGTGCATATACGCTTGCAGGAAGAGATGGATACCAGTCCGATGGTGTCCTCTTTGCTCAGCAGCCTTGCCAACTACTCCAACCTGCCAACAGGGAGCAAAGAGCATGAGGAGGCTGAGAACAATGAGGAGGGTGCACGTCCATCTAAAAAAGCCATCAAGGTAGGGAAGTGAATGGGAACCACATTACAAATCTCAAATTCCAAAATTGGAAGTCAAGAAAATCTTTTATATTTTATCATTATTAAATATTTACTTTTTACATTGTTCCCATTTTGTGTTTGTCAGGCTCCACAACTGGGAACACTGATGGGTGTTTACTTGCCATGTATTCAGAATATTTTTGGTGTGATCCTCTTCTTGCGTATGACCTGGATGGTCGGGATTGGAGGCGTCCTTGGGTCCTTCATTATTGTCTTCATGTGTTGCTCCACAGTGAGTAGACGTGCATATCGATTAGGGTTAGGGCTTTGGTTAGGGTTAGGCCAGGGTAACCCATTCATTACTAACCAGTGTACCAAAATCAGCCAAGTTCACTGTATTGGTTGAAAATGTATTTTTTCTTGAGTTGAAAGAATGCTTTTTGTTATTTATCAGCAATGCCAGTGACTTACAATCAAAGGCAGAACAAGTCGCGCTTTTCTTGTATATCCACCTATTGCTATTCATCCAACAAAAAAAGCTAATATATATATATATATACCACCCATGCGGACACACACACACACACACACATACACAAACACACAGACCTGTACATACACTTTGTGATATTTTTGTTTGGTGGTTTGCTGCAAGATTTGTCAAATGTAAAACGTGTCTTGTCTCAATACTGCTTTGGAAACACTGCTTGATGCAATGTTGGTAATACATGTTAAGTTTGAACAGATCTTTTTGAATTTATAACAGTACCAAGTAGTCTGTACGAGATGATGTTTTAGGTGACTAAACCACAATGCTGTTACAATACAAACAGGAGGGCATGATTAGAATGTGCATCATCCGGAGGCTGAAGGTAACCTTGTAAATTCTGATGTAAAATATTTAGCCACAAAACCCAACAACATCGCCATGGCCTTATTCTACTTTGTATCTTTGGCATGCTGGTGCAGCAAAAAGTGGTACAAAACATACAGCTATAAATGTGAGTAAAATGAACATTTTTTTAAAATTCTATCAAAACAAAACAAAACAACATGATTCCCAAATTCCAAATGCAAATACTGTCGCTTAAATCAATTATTTGCAGAAAAGGAAAAATGGTCTAGATACCAAAAAAAAAAAAAGGTTGTGGGGTTTTTTTTTTTGTTGTTTTATTTTGGTTTTGGTCTCTACATTTTTTCAATACCCGTATATAGTAGCTGCACAATGTATTCATGGCTTTTGACAAGTATTGTATAGTATGTTGTATTCCAACAAAAACCCAGCATAATACTGGAGTCTGCCGTGTAAACTGGCAACCAATTCAAAGATTCTTGCCCACTTCACCATGCCCACAAGCAGTCAGAAGGGTGACTGCGTGTTTACTGAACCAGGTTACCACTGTGGCTCATTGGGTATTATGGCAATATAGCTGAGCATTTCCTGAAATTTCACTCAAATCCGGGCTATCCAATGAAACCGTCAGAAAAGAATGTCTCCCACACTGTCTGCAGTGGTTACAAATGGATTTATTGGGAATTACGAGAGCAAATTCAAGTCACATATTTTCTGTTATGAGTTACCAGTCAGCATACAATATCCTTATTATATAAATGAACAGAGTAGGCTAGAGGACAGATAGGCTACTGTGTAGTTGGTGAATTGCAATTTCCCAAGCAGAGAAAATCACGCAGGGAAAAAATTCTATTCATTTTGATGATTAAGAAGTATTAAATGGCGTAAAAATAATATTTAATATATGTTCGACATTTTTTTAAATGTTTAACAAAGTTAAATGTGTAAATGCTGTTTCTGGTTCATACCATTTTCCTTCAAAGCAAATATTTGTTTAAGAGCCCTAATTTCAATGAAGTGGAGACAGTGTATGAAATGTAAATCAAAAAATAGAACCTGGATTCAATTCAGTACAATATAAAGATATCTATCAATCTAGCTAAGCTAGCTAGTGTCATGTTTTGCATGGTGGTAGTTGTTGGGAGGACCCCAAAAGCAGGGAGGCAGGGAGGAGCAGGGTGGATTGACCAAAATGTATTTAACAAAAAATGTAAACAGGAATACGCTGGAGAAACCAACTCAAAAAACTCATTCAAACAAGTCCAGAAAAACTACAAGAAATCAAAGTAGCAAAAACCTAAAACAGAAAACAAAACATGACACGTGCACAGAGACACACAATGATCCAACACTGACTGTTCGGGCAGTGAGTCCTTTTAACCACACACTAATGAAACAATGACCAACAGGTGTGCCACTGCAGGAGGAGCCCTACAGTGCCACCTGTTGGTCACAAACAGAACCACCCTAACAGCTAGCCCGCTATATTTTCCATTTTTCACAGAAAACTAGTATAAAAACGCAACATCATTAACCAATCAACCAAACAAACAAACAAATGATATATTATATTACAAAGACAGACAATATCAAACAGGACTGGAAAAGTTCAGCATAAAAAAAAAAAAAAAAACATTTGGTGCATTCCATGGGTAAATAGCCTAATTTGAAAGTGGTGAGTACCATGATTGGGTTAAAAAGGAGTACCCTCAGTTTTTCAAAAGCAGAGCTGGGGCAATGTTAACCACTTTGTGAACAAAGGCATGAGCAAATAGTCCAACGTCCAATCGCAAGCAATTTAGGGGGTTCATCATATAAGGTCCACAATATCATCAAAATATTCAGACCATCTGTGGGAATGTTATCATGAAAGCAACAAGACCCACAACCATCATTGAAGTGTGAGTACTAGACTGGCCTGCCAGCAGTTCAAGCCTGTCTCCCGTTGAAGCTGTGTGGCGCAGTATGAAGCACATCTCACTTTTGTTTTAAGCTTACTAGCCAAATGTTTTGGTATTGTTTGTAACCAGCCTAAAGGCAACAATCCAAAATGGAGAATTCAGCAAGTACGGTCGATGAATTCACTTGTTCTTCTGATAGTAGTTCCATGTACGAGTACTTCCTTTTTTGTGGTTCACCAGTTAGACGTATTTGTTTTATGTTTTTCTTTTGTCAGACTATGCTCACGGCCATCTCCATGAGTGCCATTGCCACAAACGGAGTGGTCCCGGGTGAGTGGATGTCTGGAAGTGTTGAATAATACTGATCTGACAACGACTTCTCTCTGACTGACTGACTGTTTCCTTTCCAAGCTGGGGGTTCCTACTACATGATCTCTCGCTCACTTGGGCCTGAGTTCGGTGGCGCTGTTGGGATTTGTTTCTACTTGGGCACAACTTTTGCTGGTGCCATGTACATCCTTGGTTGTATTGAAATCCTCCTGGTAAGTCAGCAGTTATCCTGTTTATTGTGTGTTATGCAACACCGTTTATTTAAACGGCGGTGTTTGACTCTGTGTTGTGTATATTAGAAATGACCCACGCCAGCGCTGCTTCAGAATTGCACTTTATTTTTAGTGGCAAAGTCAGCACAAAAACAGAAATCCTGTCCAATGTGGTCATGTGCCCCTGCTGATAAAATGAAACAGGAAAATGTCATTGTATTTCAAAATAAACTTTGAACTCGCTAGCAAACTCGTAAATGTAAACAAACAATAGAAATTTCTCTGAACCTTAATTATAATTTCCTCTCCACCGGAGGACTGCAGCGAAAGGAGATTCACTTTTTTTTGTGTAGGGGCTACTGTCACAAATTTGAGTGAATTAGATCTACGCATTAATGTTCCAGATATTGACACTGGAGGCTGCATTAGGAGAACAAATCAGGTCCTATCTATTTATAGTTGTATATAATTTGTGTAGTTAGAACACAAGAAATAACATTATACTGTACAAGAGATTCACAAGTTCTTGACTGACCCTGTTACACGTAGACATGTCACAATTCCATTCAGGTGTCCTATTTATATCCAGTAGTTGGATACACAGTGCAAATTCGTATTTGCCATACATGTTCAGTCATGGTTGAGCATCTTCATTGTTAAAGTTTCACTGGAATTATACTTGAGATACCTGCAAAGGTTTCACAAAAATTTGTTGGGAGATGGAATATCACCAGGACAAGTAACATGTTGGCATTTTGTAATATTGATGAAATTGCAATATGGGCCAAATATTATAATATATTGTCACCATGGAAAAACTACAAAAGTAGACAAAATATTCTGAAGCAGACAGCAAACTGGCAACTACTTACTGTAGCTGGGGCTGTATTCCCATATCTTTATTGAACTGTATCATACTGTATTGCGTATCAAAGGAGAAGATGAACCTATGCATTCTGTGCTACCTTTCTCCTCCATTAACCTCCACACCTTGCCCATTCTGTCCTTGCCTTGAACCATCTTCCCATCTGTCAGATTTATATTGTTCCTCAGGCAGCCATCTTCAAGATCGAGGGCTTGGAAGGGCTGGAAGCAGAGGCCGCCCTCCTAAATAATATGCGGGTATACGGCACCATAGTTCTCAGCTTCATGGCTCTGGTGGTGTTTGTAGGGGTGAAATATGTCAACAAGCTGGCGCTGGTCTTCCTCGCTTGTGTCATCCTCTCCATCCTGGCTGTCTATGCTGGAGTCATAAAGACCGCCATTGACCCGCCCATCTTCCCGTCAGTTGAATCGATCTGATGATGGATTTTTTTTTGGGTGGCACGAGTGTGTGACATTTATTCATTTTTCTTGACTTTGCCTGCAGTGTGTGCCTCCTGGGAAATAGAACCCTCGTCTCCAAGGGCTATGACGTCTGTGCAAAAGTCATTGAAATCGACAACGAAACAGTCACCACCCAACTGTGGCGCTCTTTCTGTGATTCTGACTACATCAACGCCACTTGCGATGACTACTTCCGTGACAACAACGTCACAGAGATACAAGGCATTCCAGGAGTCACGAGTGGAATCCTGGCAGGTAATAGGTGCCTCAAATGTGCTTACATGACCCAATTAAGAAAAAAACGAAACCAAAAAAAAAAAAATTTAGATGACCAGCTCGGCGGATTCCTCTTCCAGAAAACTTGTTTGGCAATTATTTGGAAAAAGGAGTGATTGTAGAGAAGAGAGGACTGGCATCCCAAGTCGACCCAGACAGTTCTGCTTCCAGCACTAACCGCTTTGTGCTCGCCGACATCACTAGCTTCTTCACTCTGCTGGTGGGAATATACTTCCCATCTGTCACAGGTAAGAGGCATGCTGGAGGTTGACACGACTGTCTTTGACATTGGGCAACATAGCTCTCAAAGACAGGGGTCATGGATATGCAAAATACACTACAGTACATGTATCCATTTTCTATATAAATACAGTACAAAGACGAAAGAGCTGGAGCGTACTGATTAACATTGACACACAAAGCATATGTAAAAAAAAAAATTGTAGGCATTTTGTGGGTACATAATGTAAACCATAGGCTCTATTTTCGTAGACAGCATATGTGCTCGGGCGTAAAAATTGGCGTTCCTCGGGTTTTGTGCAGGTGTAAGCTTCGCTTAGTGTGTTTGGAAATTTGACAGACCGCACCGTGCCGTGCTAGGTGTTCCGTTGGACCTTGGGCGTTTTTTTTTTTTTACACGTATTTGACGCACATGACAAGTTCGTGGCTCAAAGTAGATGATATTTTGCACCTGTGAAAGCAGGTTTAGGTTGTGGTGCATGTAGTATAATGCAGTTTTGGTGAATTTGATTGAGGTGCTGGCAGACAGATTCGTGTTCATGTCCACAACACGTAATTTCTCACTGCACATGTCTGCAAAAATAACAAAAAGAAAGAAAGCTCCATCCATGCCCGCAGTTAGACCGTGCTCTGCTCTCGCGAGACTTGTGCTGGACATGAAAATAGGGCCCTATGTGTTTGGTCCATGTATGGCCCAGTTAATGTTGGTAACTAAACAGTCCCATTCATCATGCGGTTCATATTTTGGCATCATGAGACACCTTACAATTGGTCAACAGATTCTCCCCATTGCGACGTTTCAAACAGGAAGTGATCGTTTGTCACAAAGTGTCACACAATGTCATAAGCAGGTTGCAACTGAGGTACAGTGAGACTGGAAGAGTCACAGAAAGACATATAGAAATAGATGTTTTGTTTTTCATTTCAGCTCTTTGTTGGAGAAGACAAAGTTGTGCATAAACTATTAAAACATGAAAAGGTTGGACATAATATATTCATATATTCAGTGATCGTTTGTCACAAAGTGTCGCACAATGTCATAAGCAGGTTGCAACTGAGGTACAGTGAGACTGGAAGAGTCACAGAAAGACATATAGAAATAGATGTTTTGTTTTTCATTTCAGCTCTTTGTTGGAGAAGACAAAGTTGTGCATAAACTATTAAAACATGAAAAGGTTGGACATAATATATTCATATATTCAGTGATCGTTTGTCACAAAGTGTCGCACAATGTCATAAGCAGGTTGCAACTGAGGTACAGTGAGACTGGAAGAGTCACAGAAAGACATATAGAAATAGATGTTTTGTTTTTCATTTCAGCTCTTTGTTGGAGAAGACAAAGTTGTGCATAAACTATTAAAACATGAAAAGGTTGGACATAATACATTCAAGAGAAGCTCGGAATTAACTTGTAACAGACATAGTAAATTTTAGGATCATCCTGAAATTTTATCTGATAGCTGAACAGTCCAATTTTTGCGAGTAATTTACAGTCTACATCCAGGCAGGCTGTCTAACCCGTCTCCTTTCACAGGTATCATGGCGGGTTCCAATCGCTCTGGAGACCTACGTGATGCTCAGAAATCCATCCCCATTGGCACCATTGCAGCCATCACAACCACATCTGCTGTGTGTATCCTTCACAGAGCAGCCGTAGTCTATCAAACACAATCTGAATGGATTCCAACGAGCCAAGCATTTGTTTGTCATTGTTTTCTCGACATTTACAATGATATATTCCTTAGAAGACTTTTTACTTAGATATGTCCTGTGTGGTGCTCTTTGGTGCTTGTATAGAGGGTGTTGTCCTGAGGGACAAGTAAGTCCCACTTTCTAGACAAATAACTAAACCTAGTAGTCCTCCAAAGTGTAAGTAAACTCTTATTTATTTCATTAAAGGTTTCTTATTAGTCTTCACCTTGCAGGTTTGGTGAAGGGGTGAACGGTAACCTGGTGATCGGGACTCTGGCATGGCCATCTCCGTGGGTCATTGTTTTTGGGTCATTTTTCTCCACCTGTGGAGCAGGACTCCAGAGTCTTACGGGAGCGCCACGCCTCCTGCAGGCTATCTCGAGAGATGGTATCATTCCATTTCTTCGAGTGAGTTCACTAAGACCAGCTTTCAGGCCACTAAGAGAAATTAGCCTTCTCGATAAATATCAGCTTAGTGTGACACTCAAAAGTTCGGCACTTCTATCCTCTTCTGTATTTACTTTAGCAATGTTTCTTCTGTGAGATGGTAATAAGATGTGATTTAGCAAAGCCCATTTGTTATCCCTGCAGATCTTTGGACATGGTAAAGCCAATGGGGAGCCCACCTGGGCCCTCCTGCTCACAGCGAGCATTTGTGAGATTGGCATCATCATTGCTTCTTTAGATGCCGTCGCACCCATCCTTTCCATGTAATTTAATTTTGTTGTCAAATCCAACATAGTGTACCTACAGAGCATTCATGTTGAACAGGTCCTTTCTCTTTTTCTTCTTCAGGTTCTTCTTGATGTGCTACATGTTTGTTAACCTTGCCTGTGCGCTCCAAACCTTACTGAGGACTCCAAACTGGAGGCCACGTTTTAAGTTCTACCACTGGTGAGCTATATATGTTTTACATTAATATGTAGCACTTCTAATTGTCATTTAAATGCTGAGAAGTAACTATTTTAGCACTCGCAAGATGACAAGACTATTGAAGATTTGCTCTCAGAATCTGTACTGATGCCAAGTGATTGGCTGGTTGGTCTGTATGGATTGTGAGTGATGTCCCGTCGAAAAGGTGGTGAAAGTGTCGAACAGCGAGGTCAACGGCAAGTAATGGTCAAAAGTACTGAATTTCTTCCCCAGTAGGTGTAAATTGCAGTTGAAGAACCCAAGCGACCTAGTGATGATATTGTGTATTTGCACCACCGACGGCATCGTTGCTGGTGTCCGTCAAAAGCATGAGAGGGGTGTGGAAACGACAATGTGATGGCCTTGGCTAATGCCTGCTTTGTGGCGTCGAAAGCGCGTTGCTGAGCATTGTCCCACTGCAATATCCTTGGTTTGCCAGTCAGGACCCCCGTATAGCGGTGACATAGTGATCACTATGCCGGAAAGGAAATGGTGGTAGTAATTCGCCATGCCAATGAATTCCTACAAGCATTTCATGGTGGTCGGTGTTGGGAACTCACTAATATCAGCAACTTTTCTTGGGCGAGGGTGTACACCCGATGCCGAGATCTCGTATCGCAGGAAATCAACCCTTGACATGCCGAGGATGCACTTGTCTGGGCGCACAACCAGGCCGTTGTCCTCCAGCAGCTGCAGAATGCCGTGCACGTGGCTTTGGTGTTCCTTTTCACTTCTGGAGTAGACCAGGATGTCGTCAATGTAGACACCGCAGAAGGGAAGGTCGTCGAATATCTATTCTATCATCCGTTGGAAGGTGGTGCCACTGTTCCTCAAGCCACAGATAGCGAATGATGGCGGTCTTGGCTATTTCGTCTGGATGTACGGGAACATGGAGGTACCTTTTGAACAGGTCCACCAAATTCTGGCACTGTTCAACTGAGATGTGAACTCAGCCATGTTGGGCAGCAGGCAATGGTGAGGCATTGTTTGGAGGTCCAGGCACCAATAGTGTCCGGGATCCATGAGGATTCCTCACCATGTGTAAAGGAGATGCTCATGCGCTGGACAACTTCTGGCACAGGCCCATCTGCTCCATCTCTGAGAAGGCCTGTTTGGCACCTTCGAGCTTTTCGGCAGACAGGTCTCAGAACTTGGAGGGAACCAGCAGACCGGAAGTATGACTATGCTGGTCGATGCCGTGCTTGGCCGGGCTTTTGACGAAGTTCTGCCTTGAACACGCTAATGCCCATGTCAACCAGAAACTTGCATCCAGACAGGGCGTTAGTCAATCCGCCATGCTGCAGAACAGCATCCAAGTGCATGAACAAATATTATAGAAAGTATATTTGCTGGATCAGTTGCAGGAACTTAATCATAGAAGTAATTTAAGAAGAGGGTTAGAGATTATGGGAAGCCTGAAAAGTTTAGCTGCGAAACTGCAAGCAAAATACCAACAATGATAACATCGTCAGGCTGGCGGAAAACACCAATTTGATGAAAAATGCAATTTATTGTCCCCCACAGGGCTCTATCATTCCTGGGTATGAGCTTGTGTCTGTCACTTATGTTCATCTGCTCCTGGTATTATGCCATCGTTGCCATGGGAATTGCCAGCTGCATCTACAAATACATTGAATTCTGTGGGTAAGTATGTCCTCATAGGATAGAGACTTTAAAAAAATGGGTAAATATCAAGTTGTACTGAGACAAATACATACAGTATATTTATATATGCATTCACATTCAATAAACCTGCTCTATGATTGTGTACTGCACACTCCCCAAAAGCCATTTTACATTCCATTTGACCAAGGTGGGAAATGGGAAAAAGATAAGCACAATTTACTCCAGGTGTAGGCAGCACAACAGTTCCTTCATCATTCCTCTTCTTCCCAGAATTTCCCTATTTGGGATCAATGTTATATAGGAGCCTTCTCCAAATACGGGCATCCCTTTCATCCATTTAAGATCTGATTAAATACAGTCTTTCCATCTGGTTCTTGGTCTTCCTCATTTATATGTCGTCTGTACATCCTTTTGCATCACTTCTCTTCCTACATGCAGTCCTTCAGTTCTCCTCATCAGATGTCCAAACCAACTCAGTCTAGCTACTTGTACTTTCTATGAAAGTTTTTTTTCCTTCACCAAGCCTGTGTCACATCTGTTCCTTATTCTGCCTTATATAGTAACTTTGGACATCCGTCTAACTTCTTTTTCTCTTACTTTCTTGCGTGGAGCTGCTTTTAATCTGTACATCATGGCTGATTTTGCCACTTCTTCATGGACTTTAGCTTTTAATTTTATGGGGACTCATATGTGACATATCAACCTTTCTCCAGTTGTTCCAACTACAACTGATTCACAATGGTTAATAAGGAAGCTCATACGTTACCCCATTTGTCTCGATAATGTACAAGCTGCAATGAATTACAGTCTGGGTTATAAATGTTCTTTATGAGACCAACTTCCAAACCGCATAAACAACTGTGTGACAGAGCTGAGAAAGAGTGGGGTGATGGGATACGTGGCATTTCCCTGAGCGCTGCTCGGTTTGCTCTCATGAGGTTGGAGGAGGGACCACCACATACCAAGAACTGGAGGTCAGTCACAGTCAAGCTAAGTTGTGATCATTTAATGAAAATGATGCTCAATTTCTGGCCAAGCTGGCTGTGCTTTATCTGTGTACTCATTTCGCTGCTCAGGCCTCAGATCCTGGTTCTTGTCAGTATGGATGCCGAGCAAAATGTCGAGCAGCCTCGTCTGATCTCGTTAACAAATCAGCTGAAAGCAGGGAAGGGTCTCACTATTGTTGGCACCTCTGTTCAAGGAAAATTCCTTGACAACTATACCGAGGCCCAAAGGGCAGACCAGGTCTCTGTCACACAACACACATGCCACTAAGTGACCACACCGTTTGTGATTATGTCTAACAACTGCCGTCGATTCTTTGCCACATTCAAGTCTTTGCGGAAACTGATGGAGACAGAGAAGGTGAAGGGCTTCCCCCAAGTGGTCATATCCTCCAATTTAAGAGATGGGACATCACACTTGATCCAGGTTGGAGGGCTTGGAGGTTTGAAGCACAACACAGTGATGGTCAGTTGGCCACATAGCTGGAAACAGCCTGAGTCCCACCAACAATTCCGCGATTTTATTGGTAAGTTACTCCTGACGTAATCACTATCTTTAATGTTTCTAACTTGGTATGACCATTGTCTACTCTGCTGCACATTCTCCTCCATAAAGTAGTTTACTTTTTCTCATAAAAAAAAAAAAAAATAGACAGCCCCACTTTTGAGTGTAGAACTAGAGAACAGACAGAGCCATTTGTCCAGTCACTTCTTGATTGCAAATATTTCCCTACTGTTCCTGTGTAGAGGTGGTCAGAGAGACCACAGTGGCCAGTTTGGCCTTGTTGGTTCCCAAAAACATCTCTAGCTACCCGTCCAATGGAGAGCGCTTCACTGAAGGACACATTGATGTGTGGTGGATAGTCCATGATGGAGGCATGCTCATGCTTCTTCCCTTCCTGCTGCGTCAGCATAAGGTGGCAAATGCAAAACTGCAAAGTATGCTTTGGGTTAGGTACGTCGTCATCTTGATCTGATGCTCTTCTTTTCCTGAAGGTGTGGAGGAAATGCAAGATGCGCATTTTCACTGTGGCTCAGATGGATGACAACAGTATTCAGATGAAAAAGGATGTCATAACTTTCCTCTACCACCTGCGCATTGATGCTCAGGTGGAAGTTGTGGAGATGGTGAGATTGACACGTGCACTCACTGGCCACATTTATTTCCAATATGATAGGTAAATAAATATTCTTAGTCATTTTGTAAGTCTCTCAATAAAATTCTATACTGTATTGGGCAGGGTGTCAAACATACGGCCCGCGGGCCGGAACTGGCCCCCAAGGAGGTTCAATCAGGCCCGCAGGATCATTTAAAAGAGAAAAAATGTATGAAAGACACGGAACGAGTATGTTTAATAAGGTGCAATTCGTGAAGTGTCCGCTAGGGGGCACACTGTTTTGATCAGAGAAGAAGACAACAGCAGTCTCAGTCTGTCACTGAGACAGACCCAACACAGCAGACGCTATCAAGCACATGTGAATACTTTATTCTTGACACATTTAATAGTACTCTCCTTAGTTTGTTAGGTGTAGGCAGGGATTAAATTTAGATTTTATATAATGGTTTAAAAATTCCTTTTTTTGTAAATCTCGTTTAATCTTAAAATGCATGACTATATTTTTCAATACCAATGACTTGTTCAAGTTTTGTCCCTTTGTACAATCAGTGGGATCAGTTGCAATGCATATATGTGAATGATAAAAGTAAATTGCACATTTGACTAAGGAAATCTAAGATGCTTCATGAAATGTTTTGTAAAAGATATGTTCATTAAATTTCAACATTTACCGAATGTTCTTGTGCTTCTTTAGACCAAAACAAAGGAAAGACATATTATTTTGGTTATTTATAGCAGAATATGGTATCATTTTAATGGTCCGGCCCACTTGACATCGACTGAGGCCGTATGTGGCCCCCAATGTGAAATGAGTTTGACACCCCTGGTATAGCGTATGCGCTACAACCTGTTTGCTTGGGGAGTCAATATCACAATACACCAAAATCACAATACTGTAGCCGCATGTCAGCTCACATGTCATATATAGTAAGCGCAAATGACTGATGAAAAGAAAGTAAAACTGCCTGTTTAAAGGTGACTTGTTCAAAGGGGCTTGTTTTTTTTTTCCGTGGGAATTTTTTTCAGTTACATATAACAAGGGGACGTTTGTTTATTTTAAGTTGATTTTAATTTGTAAAGAAAAAAAAAGCTGTGTGGAAGAAGCATAGTAAGTGAATGCTTTTGTCCATCAAATCAAGTTGCCTTTGTTGTTCATATTATTCGCTGTCTGCCTTAATCTGCCGCATAACATAAATATTCACCAAAAAGAAGACAAGTGACCATCAGACACGGGAGGCGAAGTGGCACGACAAAAACTTTTCTTTCGTCTTTGTGATACCTATCGCCCAGCACGACAGTGACATCTCAGCCTACACCTATGAAAAGACACTTGTAATGGAACAGCGCTCACAGATCCTCAAGCAGATGCATCTGACCAAGAATGAGATGGAGCGAGAGGTAAGCATGCATTTCGCATACTAAATCAAAGAAGAAAGCGTTATTTTGTGACTAACCAGCGGTTTCGAAAAGTATGCTCTCTGATCATGAATTGAATTGGTTGAGCAGCAAGGCAAATTACCAACTGGAAAATCATCCATTGCGTTCTTTTATTCCTCTACAGATTCAGAGCATAACAGATTCATCACGCGGGTCCATCCGGCGTAAAAAATCCTTTGCCTCACGCTCACAACACAGCACTGAGGAAGGAGCCAGAATGGGCGAACATCCAGAAGAGGAGGTACAGGCCATCTTAACTGATTTTTCACTTGATCTTGGATGGCATCCCAAGATCACATGACTGCACCAATTATCCAGCCTTCCTATTTCGAAGCTGACACTGAGCAAAAGTCAAAGTATACTTTGGATTGGTCGACAGTCAATCACAGGGCTCAAAACTCAAAACAGACACATATGGGCAATTAGTCTTTAAATGCATGTCTTTGGCCTGTGATTGGCTGTATTCTATGTGGAGTTTTCTCCACATTCACATTGGTTTTCTCCAGCGACTACAGCTTCTTCCCACATCCAAAAACATGCAGTTAATGGTTCATTGAAGACTGTCCATAAGTGAGAATGCCGAGTGTGAATGTTTGTTTCTCCATATACCGGTACTCTGTGATTGGTCCGTGACCAGTTCCGGGTGGACACTGCCGCTTGGTGAAAGTCAGTTTGACTCCAGACGGCTGCGAGCAGCCCTGATGGCCAGGTCCGACCATTTGGGAAAATTAACATATTTTTCTGAAATTTACGATGGCCACCTCGCCCCTGGCGGACCCTGACTTGACGCCTTTGCAGATAGGTGTCTGTCTGTTTTCTTTCTTTCACTCTGTTATTATGCCCCGTCTGTGGCTGTTTGCAACTCAAAACAGGTCCAGCTCATCCACAATAAGAACGCCTCAACACCTGCCAGCCCTACCAGCCCCACTGCCCCTGCTGGGGTTGGAAGAACCTGGACAGACAATAAGGAGGTTGGCAAGGGGAAGACTCTGGAGGCGGGCAAAGACCCCTTCAGCATGAAACCGTGAGTTGGCTAAAAGCTTATTATACAACGTAAACTATCAACAAGCCACATTTGTTGGATTTATACGCGAGTCCTGTAACATGGAAACTTTTTATCTTGGAAAAAATTGTGACTTGACTCTCACAACATTACCATTATTATTTAGTTTTAGTTGAACTCGAAGACAAAACCAAGATCGGACATACGCTTACGTAGGTTTGAATGAAACACCTGAATGTAAATAAAAATTACTTTGTTATCCAACCTCCATTTATCCAGTTAAGCAAGGAATCTCATTTGCAGTGCCAATCTAGCAGCAGACCACAGAATAAAACACAGCAAAATAAATACAACAAACAAAATCATATATCTAGGCACAAAACATATCATCATAAAACACCAAACAAAATCTCCACTCAAAATACATCATACCTCCCATCACGTTGGCACTTCTTATATGGGAGGTGCAACGTTTAATTGCCTCTTGTTGTACATTGTTTGAAACTGCTACAGATGTGAGAGGAGCAAGATTGAAATCTACTTTGACCAGGATGAGAGCGCCAGGACCACTGATGTTACGATCGCAGCCTGCGTAATATCACTGACAATTGCGACAAGCAAAGTTTCAGAGTAAACATCCATCCATTTTCCGATCCACTTATCCTCACAAGGGTCGCCGGGGGTGCTAAAGCCTATCCCAGCCGTCATCGGGCAGTAGGCGGGGGACACCCTGAACCGGTTGCCAGCCAATTGCAGGTCACACATAGACGAACAAACATCCGCGCTCACACTCACACCGAGGGACAATTTTGAGTGTTCAATCAGCCTGCCATGCATATTTTGGGAATGTGGGAGAAAACCCACGCAGGCCTGGGGATAACATGCAAACTCCACACAGCAGCTGGAATTGAACCCGGTACCTTTGCACTGTGAGGTCGACGCGCTAACCACTTGTCCACTTGGCCACCCAAAGTAAACAAGCAAGTGTAATTTTCAAACAACCGAACGCTCGTCCATTGGCGAGTTACATACATCCAGAAAGATCGGTTCAACTCTCCAGCCCCATTTAGTCATCTCTCTCTCCCTTCACTTTACACTTTTACCGCTGACTTTCCTCCGAAGCTCACGCGGCTACACATAGATGACACTCCTTGTGGCCGCAGCTCTCCTCAGCCGTACCATCGCACCAACAAGCGCCGATACTCTCCTCCAATGAACAGTCCACACGATGTACAATGCAGTCGATTTGGCATCGGTACATTACACACGCAGAAAAAAAGCAGTGGAAACATTTAGATGAGGTGGGCAGTGTGAAAGGGCTTACGGCTTCTTGTATAATCTCTTATTTGTATGTCAAACATTATTTTCTCCCTCGTGACACGCTGCTACAGGGAATGGGAAAACTTGTGAGTATGACGGTGTCTCACTGAGACCAAGTGTTTGATCCGAATAACTACATCCAGAGTTGTCCTATGTCTCCTGCACAAGGAACCAGACTGACGTGAGACGCATGCACACAGCTTTGCGACTCAATGAGGTCATCATAAAAAAATCCAAGGAGGCTAAGCTCGTCCTGCTCAACATGCCTGGACCCCCCAAAAATCGCACAGGTGAGGAAAACTGTATCCTTGCAGTGTGTACCGTTCCGCTCCACAATAGCGAAACTGGTGAATAGTGTAGATTAGAAAAGTACACGTAAGGAAGATCAAATTACAAAGGCAAAGCATCTCAAAACACTGCGTAGTTTATGGTTGACCGTTAAATACATTCAATTATTTTGTAGCCCCGCAGCCCCCCAAAAAATAGAGCAATTATCAGGATAAGCGGTACAAAATTAGTATTTCATAACATTTACAACAAAGCCTTCATCATAAAATGGGAACAACGTGGAGCAGTTCCATCATTTGTATTGTTCATTAATGCGTTAGTCTTTGTTCCTCCTTCACTGAGGCCGCCTTCCAGACATGGAGTTCCTGGAGGTCCTCACAGAGGGTCTAAATCGGGTTCTCCTCGTCCGCGGAGGGGGACGTGAGGTCATTACCATCTACTCCTGAATATATTTTAGCCAGAGGTTCTGCCCGTGAGACCTAGCGAGTCTCACAAAACCTCCCTCAAGGATAAACCGTGCAGGTGGCTCTATCCTGATTCAACAGCATTTCACTAAGGCTTTTAGTCCCACTCCTTCATGAAGAATGTTCCCGTCTTTTCTTATTCTCACGTGTTGTTTGAATGTTTTCAATATTTATTCAGCTTAAAATGTATCTTTTTCTTTTTCTTGTCGTTGAATTGTTTGTATGGAGGCACGCAGGTTAAGTGACATTGGACTCAACATCAACTTGATATTTATTTGCAACAGGATGTTGACAAGCAGACTACAATGTAAATTTGGAGAGCTAAAACATGATACACTCGTTAAATATAAACAGTCAACAATTATAATGATCATGTGATATTACCTGAAGGAAGCTCATTTTTAATGAACAGCTAAAAAAAAACTTTGAGCCTATGTGCACATTTTTTTTTTTTTTACTACCACTATTTTCAGTAGTAATTGTTGAAGTTACTAAACCGCATTGCAGAATTTGTTGCCTCAATTGCTTGAAAAATATGCAAGTGAATTTTAGTGGATGACGGGAGTTTGTTAAGTTCTGTTCCATTAATTAAGCACAGTGATCAATTTTCCCTTTCAACACACAGAAACAAAGGGGCGTGTAAAAATGTTATACCCCATTGATGTGTGTGTGTGTATATATGTGTGTGTGTGTGTGTGTGTGTGTGTGTGTGTGTGTGTGCGCGTGCGTGCGAGAGAGAACCTGAAGAGTGTATAAAATAACTTATGTAAATAAATGTCATTATAGACTTAGGAAAATAAATTGTGTGGCAAGTGTATTTGTTTTGTGTGTTCCTTTATTTAATTACAAGTCACTGAAAGAAGTGGAGTCACTAATTTAGTGGAGAAAGTTGCAACCATGACAAGCGTCTGACAACTTTCCACCTGTGTTTAGAAGTTGTAACACACCACAATGGTTTTACAATCTTATTTAATTATACTGAATCGAGCACAGCACAACTATTTTCGGTGACTTCAACAAGCCAAGTGTTTGTTGTTTTGGGGATTTGAGAGCAAAAATAAGCCCTGGAAAAAGTGACAGTGACTGATCCAATGAAAACACGCTGATAGTGTCGGGCCAAGTGAAAGTTCAATTACTGAACAGCCTAATGGCCACATAGTCCGTTTTTTCCCAAAAGAAGAGAAACTACAAACTGGGTTCGAATGGGGACACAAGTGAGAGTGTTGTTACAATGTAATAACACTGTTCAAATCAGAGTTTGTAATCAAAGGTGCTTAAACGCTCACTCAATAAACACCAGTATGAAGAGCAACACATTTTATGAGGCGAGCCAAAGTTCAGACTACTGAATATCCCCACTTGTTTGAACGGGAGCAGACTTGAACGTTGTCCTCTCTTATCTGTGCTGATGATAATCCTTGCTTCAAATGAAAAAACTGCCATTTGAGCTCTGACAATGAAGCCAGGTGCGAGCAGCCTGCGAGTGAGGCTGCCCGTGTTTGTTTTTGCAGTGGAGGTGGTGATTTTGGGTCTGTTTGCCACTTTTGTCGCATATGACGACCACGGTGATGCCAGATTTCAAACCAACGAGACTAAGGCCATGGACAATGCAGTATACAAGGATTATCCTTTTTTTGCCGACATTCAGGTGATGATATTCCTCGGCTTTGGATGCCTCCTGGCATTTTTCCGACTCTATGGATTCGGAGGGATGGTTTTCAACTTTCTTGTAGCTACCTTTTCCATCCAATGGGCCATTCTAGTGCAGGGGTACTTCCAGTTCAGTCATGATGGTAAGATCCAACTTGGTGTGATCAACCTCATCAATGCAGAGTTTGCCTGCGCCGTGGTGCTCATCTCTTTCGGGGCAGTATTGGGCAAGACAAGTCCGCTGCAGCTGCTGGTCATGGCTCTCCTGGAGGTGCCGGTATTTGCAGTCACTGAATGGGCAGTGCTGAAGTACCTGAAGATAAACGACGCTGGAGGCTCCATCCTGATTCACCTCTTTGCCTGTTATTTCGGCTTGGCAGTCACCTTTGTGCTGTACAGACCTCGTCTCAATGAAGGTCACGCCAAGGAGACCACCAGCTATCAGTCGGACATCCTGTGCATGATGGGGACCTTGTTCCTCTGGGTCTTCTGGCCCTCCTTCAACTCGGCATTAACCCTGAAAGGCGATGACCAGCACAGGGCCATCCTCCACACCTTCATTGGCCTCTGTGCCTCCACCCTCACGGCCTTTGCTCTATCTGCACTACTCAACAAAAATGGAAAACTCAGCATGGCGGACATCCAGAATGTGACCTTGGCTGGAGGCGTGACGGTCGGGGCATCCGTAGATATGATGATATCACCGGCGGCAGCATATGCCCTGGGGATGGTAGGCTGCATCGCATGCATGCTAGGCTACAAGTACCTGAGCCCTGTCTTGGCACAACGCTTCCGAATCCAGGATCAATGTGGAATACATAATTTGCATGGGCTAACAGGACTCATATCCTCCGCTGCTGGGATTTATGCAATAATGGTGGCGAAAGAGGAAGTCTATGGCCCTAGTATGTATGACACTTTTAGGCACAGAGCCCCAAAAGAAGGGGATCCCAAGTTGCTTGAGCTGCAGGCATTAATTCCTGGACTGCAGCCAGGTTTGGGCCGGAGTGCCCGAGAACAGGCTCTCTTCCAGGTGGCTGCCATCTTCTCCACCATAGCAGCGGCCGCCATCGGAGGCGTGCTCACAGGCATAGTCTTGAAAATCCCTTACCTCTCCTCACCTTCAGATGATTTATGTTTTGATGACAAACTATATTTTGTTGTGCCCCAGGATAGTTACTCGCCACTGAAACAAAACAAAGACACACATAAAGAGGAAACTGTTGCCTAACACATCGTGCTCTCCTTACCGAAATAATGAAAATAAAATTGTCTTTTAAAAGTGCTTCAAAATAATATTTTGTGATGACATGATATGTATATTTTGCAGTCATTGTATTTATTGCCCCAGTAAATCGAATGTTTTATAAAATGTGGATAATTATGAACATGAATATTGTGTTTGGCATAGAGACACGTCACACATTTGTGTCATTAACAAAGTAAAGATATTACACTGTGTCTAACTGTAAATGACTGAATGGAACAAATATTTGTAATGTTTCTGTTATGACTCAAAAATATCTACTGTAAAGGTATGATGCCCTGATTATCTAATTAGATTCATACAATTCACCCCAGCGTTTAAAGTATTCTTTTTTTAAAAACAGATTACATTCGAAATCGGGAGTCACAGAAATAGTGGCTGTACATATGACGGGTTTAAGACGGGCAAATGATTGACGCACTTGCTTCCTCTCTACTTCTTTGTTGTGTCTAGTTAAATACAAGTTCTTTGTCATCTCTGCTTGTGATCCTTTTTTGTTTCTCACGATTACTGTTCCTCATTGTGCAACGTGAAATTACAAACGGTGTCTAAATAGTTTCTTCAACCCAACATTGACGTCAATAACGAGTTTGCCACTTAACAGACACGATAGTGACACCTGGTGGACAACGTAAGTGTACATAGCGATTATGTGCAAGAAGGCCCTTATCCTCCGTGGGCCATATTCTCTCCCTTTATTTATAATGTACGATCATTCCTCTGCTATTTTACTCATTCACTCCTTCGAGATTCCACCATGACCTCCGAAGACCAAACGGTACATGTTTTGTGTGAATGTGGTGAAAACACAGAGCATCTGTCTCAAGCTGTTCGAACACTGTTATCACTGACATAAAAACTACCTATATATGGCATTTACAGTTACACAACATCAAGTTTAGCTTTTTTTTTAACACACGCTCATAAATCTAAATTCCAATTTAGCAAACAGAGGTAAAAATTTGACCTGAAACAACCTAAGTGCACACAAAATTTGTAGCAGCTTGTGACTTATCGGGTCAGCGTGGTGGAGTGGCCAGATGAGAGGCAGAAAATATTCAGGCAAGTGCTACCTAGCCCTTCACGAATCTTCATTCAGACCACATCTTAGTAAAGGTAACGACCCTCACGGCTCACCTGTTTTCTGGGTTTGGTCATGTGATGACCTTATATTCATATAAGTCAGTGTATGATGCAAACTGGGCCCTAAGGCCCTGTCGTGTAATTTTTAGTCAAAATCAAGTGGCAGTACAAGACCAAATGGCCACCCCCTGAAATGGATAAAACAAAACGGTGGATTTTTATGTGCTTAAATCAAATTCCACAAACGCAATATTAATCAGAATACCGTGTCTACACTTGTGGGGGCTCACTGAACGTATTATCGAAAGAACTGACTTTACTTCCCTTTGAATAAGCCCAGTTGTACAACAACTATTTTATTTTATACACACCCGATCAGTATTGGTGATATTGTTGATGGGACGTAGTGCACAATAGTGTGCGAGTTTCGTCTCCATCCGCTTGGTGGCAACCAAGACCTTACACTGGAGCAGCTGAAGAATGGCAGAAAAAATATGTAGAGCAGTATCTATCCATTCATCCATCCATCCATTTTCTAATCTGCTTTTCCTCATGAGGGTCACGGGGCGTGCTGGAGACTATCCCAGCTGTCTTCGGGCAGTAGGCGGGGTACACACTGAACCAATTGCCAGCCGATCGCAGGGCACACATAGACAAAAAAAAACCCATTTGCGTTCACAACCACATCTAGGAACAATTTTGAGCAGGGGTAGGGAACTCCGGTTCCTTGAGAGCCGTATCCTGCCTGTTTTAGATCCCCCCTATTCCAACACACTTGATTCCAATGATCAGCTCATCAGCAAGCGCTGGAGAGGCCTGCAACGATTATGAGCAATTGAATCAGGTGTGTTGGAGTAGAGAGGGATCTAAAAAAGGCAGGATATGGCTCTCGAGGAACCAGAGTTCACTACCCCTGATTTAGAGCATTCCATTCACCTGCAATGCATGTTTTTGGAATGTGGTAGGAAACCAGAGTGCATGGAGAAAATCCATGTCTACTCAGAGAGAACAGGCAAACTCCACATAGGAAGGCCAGATCCGGGATCGAACATTGCACCTCTGCACTGTGAGGCAGACGTGCTCGCCAGTCGATCACCTTTCCGCCCTAGAGCAGCATTATTCTGATAAATTGATTGCATTTACTCATGGCTTCAAGGATCCAAACCAAACACGCCGGTGCCCCATTAAATTACAGAGTATCAATTTGGCATGAACAAGTAAAGACCTGCAGATCATTTGTCAGTCGCACTACTAACAATAGGAAGCATTACACTGGATACAGGAAGGTAATCTTGATAATACACCGGTCACGTCAGTCTGGCAGCGCTCACAAGCATTCGAACGGTTGAGTCATGCTGTTTGGAATTAATTTACAGAATACAGTACATCATCATTTATACAGGATTGCTCACCCGCAATTTATTTGTGTCTTTCATAATTTTATCTGTGGTTTTATTGTTTTTGTTCTTGATTGTAAAGTGTCCATGGGTGTTTTGAAAGCCACTTATAAATAAAATGTGTTATTATTAAGAACAAACGATTGAGGGCAGCTTTTATTTGTGTTCCTGCACGTGTCGGAGGAGTGGGCAATGAAACTGCTGACGTTCTGGCTGAGCAAGCTTGAAACTGAATCCAATAATACGATAGAAACTCAGTTATCTAAGGCTGAATACAAAATAATAGTTAAAAGGAAAACGCTGGACATTTGGCAAGAGAACTGGGATTTAAGACACAGAACGACACCTACAGTATACTATTAATTGCAGAAACAGGTTGGTTTAGGCCAGGACGTTAGATGGGTAGGAATCCTGAAGGAATAGTCCTTTTTTACACGTATTCGGATTGGTCATACTGCACTTAATTCCACACTTTATAAAACTGGAAAGCAGGCTACAGGCACCTGTGATGTGTGTGGCCAACATGAGACTGTTTGGCATGCGCGAACGGAATGCAGATTTTATAAGGAAAGAAGTGCGTGGATAATACAAAAGGACAATTAACTTGCATTCCGCATTGACGGTGTTAGAAATGCATCAACAACCAAAACTCTGAATTAGTTAATTAATTATTTCAGGGAAATAAGATTCATGACTAGCATATGATTTTTTATTATTATTATTATTATCGTTACCATTATTATTGGAATTATTACTATTATTTTTTTTCTTTGATTTTTTTTAAAGACAGCTTGTATACTCTCCAGCACGCCTGTGACCCTCGTGAGGATAAGCGGATGAGAAAAAGGATGGATTATTATTTTTAATACTGTGTGTTTTTATTTGCTGCGTTTCTGATACTTCACACTCCGGTCCGTTAGGTGGCGATAATGCATCAAACGTTGGGTTGCCAACCAACAAATAAACTAAAACTAGACGACGAAGAAGAAGATTGGACGTCGAGTGCCGTAAAGGCCACGATCACTCCTGCGCTCCTTTTCCTCTTTCTTGTACGAAACCAAAACGTTTTACATAAGTCACTCATTGAAATTATTTATGCCACTTTTTAGTTGGATCTACCGAACGGGACGGATTCAGAAGGGTCTGTTCAGCGGGACATTGGCTTTGATATTTTGACTCTTCCTCACATTTTCACCCTTTCCAAACGGTAACGTCATTGTCTGCTACGTAGGCTAGCGTTCCGAAGTTAGCTGGCCGTTTTTTAAAGACACGTTTTGGAACAATAGCATCTCGCTGTTGTTTACTAAGCATTTCCGCTTACTGTGTTTACGTTGTGCTCGGATCACATTCGACCTTCGTTTACGTTCATTTCCATTGGCGTCGATTTGGATTTGTCGACCAGCGAGGGGCCGTTGTTTGCTACAGCAGGGCCAAGCAGGTAATTAGCGTTAGCATGTCACCGTGGCCGCCATTAAGTCTCCCCAGATATGGTAGCATGCCTTGGTCGTCAAAACATGTTGAGTGCTCGTTTTCTGTTTGACTTTTCAGCGTTTATAAAGCCTTAAGCCGTAGTAGAGTTAAAATGAATGTTATTTATTTTTGTGCAATGAAACACTTTACTCCCCCCGCCCCCCCCAATTTCTCTGCTGTAGACTGCAAATTTCCCCAGTGTGGGACAAATAAAGGTTATCTTATCTTAGACCTGGCCCTACTTTTAGGTTAGATTGAGATTGTTTATTTTGTGCCTATTAATCGCCGCGCCTAATAAATAGCAGGTTCAGCAAGTGTGTAAGACAAACTCTTGCGATTGAGAGTTAATTGTGCTCCACGTGTTCAAAGTAGTTAACGAACTCATTATCTTCATTTTAGGATCGTCATGGCTGATGATTTTGATGTTGAGGCCATGCTGGAGGCGCCATACAGAAAGGTGGGTGGAGAGGTCAAAGAAATAAAGCTTATGTTCTACACTTGACCCGTTCCTAATAATTGCAACTATGACAAAGTTTACATGAATGTTGTGTGGTGTGTTTAAGTAAAACGCTGTAAGTTTATAAATAAATCCGCATCTATCTCTCTTTATAGACTTCCCTAATGATATCTCACCTCTACTCCCATGAATTCATCTTTGATTCCACTGTGAACTGTGAAAAAAAGGAAGGTAGTTATTGTGCATATACTGATGTACTGTGGTTCACCATAGGACTAAAAGAGATTCGGCCTAAAACACCCAGGCCCTGTTCGGTTACGACAAGGTGAATACAAATGAGTGACGGGCCCATCTTACCTGGCCAGCAAAGTTGGCAGTATTCAGATTTATAACCTGCATGTACAGCTCAACAGATGGCAATAGGAAGGCTGTACAAGATTTTACCTGTACTTTGACAACTTTGGAAAGCAGCTAGGGACCATCTTATGATTAAGACTTAGAATCGTGCCAGTTCCATCCATACGTTGTTAAACATGTTTCTTTTACTTATAAATATGAATACTGCCCCTTTGCCTCATTCAGCCTGAATGTGTATCAGCATCATGATTTTGAATGCTACACAACACCAGATATGAATATAGCAATACTTCTATTTATAATTTGTATATTGACTTGGCATACTTTAGTGAAGACGCCATAATGGCACACCCTAAGACAATAGTATCTCGTGGAAGGTTTATTTTATTTTTTTGTTTTGTTTTTAATATCAATTTCTTTTTCTTGGGCGTCAATATTACTAAGAAGTGTGAATCCCTGTTTGCTTCAGGGCAAGATGTGTGACAGAGGTGGCATCGAGCTCTTACAATCCAAGAACGAAAATGGGTGAAGATCACTGGACTGACACCAACCACAAAGGATCTCTTTTAGCGACCCCCACATCTTGCGTGGTCACATGTTTAGGCACAAATAGTGACATTGGTACGGCTTGCCATAGGGGGATGGGTTGAGATGAGCTTACTGACCTCAGCTAAAAGTTGTTGGGGCACCCTCCATCTTTGATTAAGAGTACTTTGCAGCCAAGTTAAGAACAGAGGGGCAGCAATTGGGGAAGGACACCTGTCCAGGCTCAACAGAAGGACATTTTGAAGTATTATTATTAATTGAGATATTTCTGCATTTTTCTCTTGTCCCACCCCTCCCCCTGTACCATGACGACTTGAAATGTTGCGTCTACGTCCTCATGATGTTCTTCTATCAACCTTGCTTAGGATGAGGTCAAGTCTTCTCATGCAAACGGACATGATGGTCACAACAGGAAGTATGTCTTTTTGTTGCCTCATTGTGCTGGATTTACAGAGCCATGCATGACAATAACTGAGCCCTCTATTGAATGGCACACAGGAAGAGGCGCAGCAAGAGCAGAAGCCCAGGCTCCAAGAAAAGAAGGAGCCGGAGCCGAAGCAAAGACAGAAAAAAAGCTAAGAAGAGGAGCAAGAGCCGAGAAAGGAAGCGAAGCCGCAGTAGGGAACGTCATCGCAGCAGCTCTCGGAGCAGAGAGCGAGCTGGGCGCTACAAAGCTCGAAAGAGCCCAGTGTAGGTGACCGTACTGCTGTGTGGCTTGATCCAGTGTTTTCCAACAAATTTGCACATTAAAAAAGAAAAACTTCCAAAATGCTGCTAAAAGTACACATAACGAAATAATGATCCGTTTTCGTTTATTCACAAAGTGAAGTGTGCGCCTGTTTAATTGAACACACAGCTGATAAACTTGCGGGAAATCATGACTTTGTCTTTGTTTCAGACGCAAGCGTTCCAAAAGTCGCACTCCTGTCAAGAAGGAGAAGAGTCCAATCAGGTACAAAGTCATTTCCTGTTCCTGCTTGGTGTATGCTTATATTCATATAGTCAGCCCCTCTGCAGAATGCCCGATTCTCAGCAGCATTTTGCAAAAAGGCCAATCGAGGATCAGGCATTTTATTAAGACCTTTTTTTCTTTTGCGAAGAATCTCACCATTAAACAGTGAGTTCCCACTTGCCTTTCTTCATTGACATCTGATATACCGCCCTGCATTACAATGTGAAGTACGAGACAGAAGCAGAATTCAAGCAGCTTATGAAGTATTCGGGATCATCCCCACTGTGCATGCAGTGTGAAGCCGTTGCGTGCTCGACAGCCACCCCAGTTGCTGTCAAGAGTTCGGCATCTATTTTCTATTTGCCAAAAGTGTCATCCGGTCCCAAAATAACTCCACGAGGCTGACATGAATGTCGATGTCAGGCCACTGTAGGTGTGATATTGGAGCAATTCATTTTGTGGAAGGGTTGCCGTGATTGGATAAGGTTTCAAGCTTTAATGATTGACATTGCAAATTTGTTGTCTCTTATCTCATGGAGCTTTTGTTTTGTGTTTCTAGGCAACCAATTGACAATCTAACGCCAGAGGAGCGAGATGCCCGCACTGTTTTCTGCATGCAGCTGGCTGCTAGAATCCGAGCCCGAGACCTGGAGGATTTTTTCTCGGCTGTTGGAAAAGTGAGTTCCCGGGGAATTTAAATGTGAACTTGCGAAGCCTCGTCTTGCCTCGAGTCTAAAATTGATGTCTGGAATGTTTTTGTTTCTGTAGGTGCGAGATGTGAGAATGATATCGGACCGGAATTCACGGAGATCGAAGGGGATCGCCTACATTGAGTTTGTGGAGTCATCCTCTGTGCCCCTGGCCATCGGGCTGACGGGCCAGCGGCTTTTGGGTGTGCCCATCATTGTCCAGGCCTCTCAGGTCAGTGGGCACACATCTTGCTTCCAAATGTTAAGACAGACATGACTCATGTTTCTCACATACGCATTCACAGGCTGAGAAAAACCGGGCTGCCGCGGCGGCCAATAATCTTCAGAAAGGCAGCGCGGGCCCAATGCGGCTCTACGTGGGCTCGCTGCACTTCAACATCACTGAGGAAATGCTGCGAGGGATCTTTGAGCCCTTCGGAAGGGTCAGAATGGACTTGCACATCCGAGAGAACGCTTTGTGCTTGTGCAGATGAGTGATTGTCATCCTCTTTTGTTTGTGCAGATTGAAGGAATTCAGCTCATGATGGACAGCGAAACCGGACGCTCCAAAGGATATGGCTTTATATCAGTAAGTGCTCGTAGTCCTTTGACACGTTTTCTCTGTGTTCATATGGCCGGCTGTCTGCAGCTTGCCTATTTACAGTGTGCGTTCATGACGACGATCATGGTTATCTACCTTCATCTTCAAGTTTGCAGATGCCGAGTGTGCAAAAAAGGCCCTGGAGCAACTGAACGGCTTTGAGCTGGCCGGCCGGCCAATGAAGGTGGGCCACGTCACGGAGCGCTCAGACGCCTCCACCGCAAGCTCGTTCCTGGACAACGATGAGCTGGAACGGACCGGCATCGACCTCGGCACCACGGGACGGCTGCAGCTCATGGCTAGACTTGCTGAAGGTTTGGAATATTCCAATTGGATTTCAATATTTTGTTTTATTTCTTTTTCATTCTCTCCCCTTGACCCAACATATTTGGTCCTGCAGGAACGGGTCTAAAGATTCCCCCGGCTGCTCAGCAGGCACTACAGATGACCGGTTCTGCGTCTTATGGAAACATGGCCACCCCGGCAAGTAAGTCAGAATGACTGCTGTAGTCAGTTCTATCACATGATTGTTTGCTCAATGTTGAGTCGTTGCAGCTCCTGCGCCGAGCCAAGCTTTAAACCTGCCATCTCAGCCACTGGCCACTCACTGCCTTCAGTTGTCCAACCTCTTCAACCCGCAAGCGTAAGGCTTTCAAAGTGTTTCGAAATATTTACAATATGACCTACTGCTGGCCTTAATGTTTTTGGGTTGTTTTGGTTTTTTTCTCTCTTCTCAGGGAAAACGATCCCAGCTGGGCCATTGAGATCCAAGATGATGTCATCGAGGAGTGTAACAAGCATGGGGGAGTCGTTCACATTTATGTTGACAAGAACTCTGCTCAGGTGAGAACATTCCTTCATTTCTCATTTGTCTAACAACTGCAAGAGATCTGATAGAATGAATAAATATTGTTTCTACCTTAACGCAAACATATTTTGGGGGGTGCAGGGTAACGTGTATGTGAAGTGTCCCTCCATACCAGCAGCAATGGCCTCTGTAAATGCGCTTCATGGACGCTGGTTTGCAGGTATGTGCACTAGCACTTTTCCATGCAAATGAGCACAAATGACATGATTCCAGAGGAACACGTCTTTTTCCTGTTTGTCTTGTAGGGAAAATGATCAAGGCGGCCTATGTTCCCTTACCAACCTACCACAACCTTTTCCCGGATTCAGTAACAGCGAAGCAGCTTCTAATGCCAACACGTCGATAGTGAGGCATGCTTCTGATCATCAGTGTAAATACATTTCTTTGCATTGATTAAAATGTCTTTGAAAAGGCCTCATTGAAGTTGGTTGGCTCAAGTTTGTATGTATGCCCTTTCAAAAAAAAAAAAAGGGCCACTTTGAGTTTACTTTCAACTTTGTGGCTTTGTGATGTCAAGTACCACTGAAGAAATCTGCAGATCTGTTTTTAAATATTCCCGTCTCATCTGCTTGTTTCCTCGAGTACTTGTAGATTGAAAACAAATAGGATTACATAAATGTGTTGGAATATTGGGCCTTGAATACCAAAAGTATATCAATGTTGACAATAATGCTTTGTAATTTTTTACAGACATTCATTTTTAGTATGAAGGCTCCCAATAAACTATTTGAAAACAATTCCTTGATATGTTTTGTTCCTTTTAGAACAAGCCTCCAATTGCTTTAAATCCAAACTTTCAAATGAAGGTCACATACATGGCAATTTTCCGCGGAAATCCGCCGTTTTATTTCTTAAATTGATCATTTTTGTGAATCGTCTAAATCCGTTGAGAAAATTTTAGGGGCGGCCAGGTACCTTATCGTCGAGTTTTCACGAGCTCTCCCGAACAGTCTCTCCGTTTTCCGTTTGTAAACAGCCCTGCGATTGGACGTGTATGAAAGCTTCAACT